AGTAGAAAACAAGTAGCAAAATAATAGACTTAAATTTAACTGTATCAATGATCACATTAAACATACATGGTTTATACACCTCAGTTAAAAGGCACAGATTCTTAGATCAGCTAAAAATATAAGACCCTACTATAAGCTGTTTGCTATAAACACACTTTAAATGTAAAGACACAAATGGGTTAAAAGTAAAAGAATGAAAAAAGATATACCATGCTAATTCAGTCAAAAGGAAGTTGGGGTGCTTATATTAATATCAAGCAAAATAGATTTTAGACTAAAAAAACAGGGGTTATCATTTCATATGATAAATATGTCATTTAAACAAGAAGAAATAACTATCCTAATTGTGTATGCACCCAATAACAAAGCTTCAAAATATATGAAGCAAAAACTGACAGAACTTCAAGAAGAAATAGACAAATCTGCAATTTTAGCTGGAGATTTCAATACTCCTTTATCAAGGATTATATGCTAATATCAGACAAAGTGCACATTAAGAAAAAAGATAAAGAGCACCACCTCCTAGTTATAAAAGTGTTAATTCATTAGGAAAACATAACAATTCTAAATATGAATGTGCCTAATAATATAGACTCAAAATCTATAGGGCAAAAGTTGACAAAACTACAAGTAGAAATGTACAACTCTTCATTCATAGTGGAAGATTTTAAAGTATCTCTCTTAGTATCTAATAGAACAGCAGACAAAAAAGTCAACAAGGATGTAACAATAGGATTGATACACTTGACCTAATTGGCTTATATAAAACCCTGTACCCAAAGAACCACAGAATAAACATTCTTTTCAAGCACACTTGGAATACTTCAAAAATTTCTCATATCCTGAGCCATAAATTTCAAAAGATTGACTTCATGTAGAGTCTGTTCTCTACACATAGTACAATTAAACTAGAAATCAATTTTAAAAAAAGATAATTAGAAAAATCCCCATAGTTTTAGAAATTTAATTATTCACATTGTATTAATAATATCCTGTATGTAATCTCTGTTAGATCTATACTGACATTCCTTTGTTCATTCACCTTCCCCTTTTGTTTGTCTAGGTAGGAGTTTTCCACTTGTTAGTCTTTTCAAACAATCACTTTTGCCTTTGTTGATTTTCTTTATTGTATGCTGGTTCTATATTTCATTATTTTCTATTCTTTCCCTTATTATTTATTTCTTTTGACTTTCTTTTGGTTTAATTTTTTCCTGACTTCTTGAAGTGGATGATTAATTCATTGATATTTAGACATTATTTTTTTAAGGTATGCATTTAAAGCAAAAATTTCCCTGTAAATATGGTTTTAGGTGTACCCCACTGTATTGGTATGTAATATTATTATTAGTTAATCAATTTTAACTGTAATTTCTTTCTTTTTTTTTTTTTTGAGACAGAGTCTCGCTTTGTTGCCCAGGCTAGAGTGAGTGCCGTGGTGTCAGCCTAGCTCACAGCAACCTCAAACTCCTGGGCTCAAGCAATCCTTCTGCCTCAGCCTCCCGAGTAGCTGGGACTACAGGCATGCACCACCATGCCCGGCTAAGTTTCTTTATATATATTAGTTGGCCAATTAATTTCTTTCAATTTATAGTAGAGACGGGGTCTCGCTCTTGCTCAGGCTGGTCTCGAATTCCTGAGCTCAAATGATCCGCCCGCCTCAGCCTCCCAGAGAGCTAGGATTACAGGCGTGAGCCACCGTGCCTGGCCTGTAATTTCTTATATTACTGATGAGTTCTCAATTTTCAAACATATAAGAAACTTTTCTAGTTGTCTTATTTTTGTTGTTAGCCTGATTACATTATGATCAGGAAACACCCTCTATGATTTTAGTCATTTGATTTCTGTTGAAATTTGCTTTAAATGTATTCTTTAGTTGTTGAATGCAATATAGTTGACTGTTAAACAGCATGGATTTAAACTGTGGGGGTCCACTTACATGCATATTTCCTTCTGCCTTTCCTTCTAGAAAAATGCAAAAATCATGGAGTTGTTTAACTTTTTTTATGCCATTTCTGACTTAAATGACATCTTTATATAGCATCCTAATTGTATATATAATACAATCCCTCAATATATTATTATTATATTTACATAGTCAATATTCATTTTAATTTACCTGTATGTATACTGATCTTTCCTTTCTACGTATTTCTTTCTACATCTCCAAATTTCCACCTGGGACTACTTTTCTTTTGTCTGAAAAACACCCAATTGACATTTCCTTCAGTGCAATTTAACTGGTGTTAAATTCAATTCTTTCATTTTTTGTGGAAAAAATGTTCTATTTAATGTTTAATTTTGGAGACTAATTTTCTGGATATATAATTCTAGTCTGGCAATTATTTTCTTGGCATTTTGAAAATATTATTTCACTGTCTTTTGGGTTCATTATTTCCGTTGAGAAGTGCAACTGTTGCTTCTTTAAGAGTAATCTGTCTTTTTTTCTCTGTCTGGTTTAAAACTTTTCTCTTTGTCTTCAGTTTAGTAGTTTTATTTGATGGATTATGCATGTATTCCTTTATACTTACCCTCATTGGTGGTCTTAAGACATCTTGAGTTGATGTTTTTCAATAATTTTGATAAATTATCAGTCATTATTATTATTCTATCTCTCTTATTCTAGGACTTCAATTATTGGTATGGTAGACCTCCTTCTGTGTCTTCCATATCTCTTGTCTTCTTCAAGTTTTTCTAACTTGTTATCTCTCCATCCTTAAGTCTGAATATTTTCTTCTGCTTTATGCTCCAGCTTATTAATTCTCCCTTCATCTATGGAAAAAAAAACAAAACCAAAAAACCACTGACTTCTTAATTTGTGTGATGGGTTTTTTTTTTTTAATTCTTGAATTTCCATTTTGTTGCTATTGTTTTATTTTTTCAGTTTCCAGATCACTGTTGAAATTCTCAAATCTTATCTTTCATCTCCTTGAACATAGTGAGTATAGTTATTTTAAAGTCTGTGTGTGATAGCTTAAATGTCTGGTGTTTCTGTGTGTATGTTTGTATTGACTGTTATTTCTGTTGATTGTCATTCATAATATCTTGTTTTCTTGTGGATTGGTTATTTTTAAATTATGTTTTAGATATTGTGTGTGCAATATTGTTCCGAGAAAGTTTTGAGGCCTAGGATCATGTTAGCTTCCTGCAGTGTAGATTTGTTTTGGCTTCTGCCAGGCAGCTTGGGATACTGGCCATCCAGGATGACTTTAGTCCACTTCTTGGGCTTGTGATAATTGGTAGCTGAGTGGCAGTCTTTGTAAGGACCTGATTCTGGTTCATGCTTACTCCCAGAACACAGACTTTAATGCGTCTATTTCAAATTGATTGGGACTTATTGGTTGTCTTAGTCCATTTATGCACTGCTATAAAGGAATACCTGAGGCTGGGTAATTTATAAAGAAAAAAGGTTTATTTGGCTCATGATCCTGCTGGCTGGAAGACTGGGCATCTAGTGAAAGCCTCGGGCTGCTTCCACGCATGGCTGAAGGTAAGAGGGAACTAGTTAGTATGCAGAAGCCACATGGCATGAGAGGAAGAAAGGAATGGGGGAGGTGCCAGATTGTTTTTAACAACGAGCTCTCATGGGAACTGACAGAGTGAGAACTCACCCATTACTGTGAGAATAGCACCATGCCATTTGTGAGGGATCACCTCCCATGGCCAAAACACCTCTCTAAGCTCTACCTTCAATACTGGGGGATCAAGTTTCAACATGAGTCTGGGGGGAACAAACATCCAAACTATCATGCTAGTCCTTTCTCTCCTTGGCAGGCCTGAACCCCAATCCCTCTAACCCTCAAGGATATCAGAACCGCACCTTGGCCTTCTGGCTTCTCAGGATTGCCACTCAGAATTGGGAAATGCCTCCTGAGGGAGAGTGTCCCCAAATGTTCTCTACTCCCGGCGTCTGCCTCCTTTCCTAGGTCCTAGCAAGGTAAATCTTCACTATCGTGGTAGACCTCTCTCTAGTGCTTCAATCAGATTTTAATTTTTTTTTATTTCAGATATTACAGGGGCAGGACTGTTTTTGTGACATAAATGGCTTTTGTACACTTTAAGTCAAAGATGTAAGTGTGCCCATCACCCGGATAGTGTGCATTGTACCTGTTAGGTGTGAATTTACCCATCTTCTCCTCCCCCTCCCACCTGCTTGAGTTCCATGGAGTTTTACTACCACATGTGCATATAAGTGTTGATCAATTAGTTTCAATTTAGTCGTGAATACCTGTGGTGTTTGTTTTTCCATTCTTGAGATTATTCACTTAGAAGAATGGTCTCCAGTTCCATCCAGGTTGATATAAAGAGTATTAGTGTAAGCAAGGTTGGCCATTTTTAGCTATTTGCACAAAAATGTATTGTAAGTTTTTGAAATGAATTTTAAAGTTTTCCACACATTTAACGTAAAAAGACTAGCAATGAATTACCCCAGATGACTCACCTCTACTGCCCCCGAGGATGAAGGCAGAAATTTTGATATCAAGCCAAAAAGTGACCGCTGTATTTTGGCCAAGTGAAAACATGAGGTTACAGCAAGTGTAATATATACTTTTATGGATAATATCATTAAAATTTATTAAATCATTAAAAATAAAAATTGCAAAAGAAACGTGAAGCCATGGCACCTTTTTCCTTCTCATTCCTTCACAAGTAGTCGTTTATCGAGAGCAGCTTCCCTTGTTGAAATTCTTTGTCGGGTTCTGGCACATGCAGACAAAGGAGTCAAAATCCTTGCCACTGAGTGAATTTCCCAGAAGGCCCCTGTGCCGAGTGCTGCGGCACCCACTGCTTCAGAAAACCCCACCTGGAAGTCGGGTATGGTCAGCCCTGTTTTACAGATGAGGAAACTGAGGCTCAGAGGGGTTTTAGTGCCCTGCACAGGATCACACAAGCCCATTCATGACGACCTGAGTTTGGTACCAGACGTAATTCAAGTTCACATCCATCATTTTTTTGTTACACCATGCAGTTCCAAAACTGAAAATAATTTCTGTTAAATTATTCCTTAGCACCTACTACATGCCAGCTACCACGTGAAGGCAGTTTAGGGCTTTATCTCCTTTAATCCTCTTCGCAACTTGTCAACGTGGGAGGGTTATTTCTACTTTTTCCAGATAAGAAAGTATAAATTCGAGGATGCCCATAAGGTATTGTGGCTAGAAATTGGCAGAGGCAGAATCTGAGCCCAGGTCTGACTGCCTGAAAGTACATTTTTGTCCCACTACATGGATGACAGTCTTTGGCCCGATGTGATAAATGCGTCAAGAAAGTGTCAGCAGTTGCCTGCAGGATTCAGAGGAGGGAAAATTACTCTGGCGGGGAGTTGGCCGTGAGGGTGATCAGGGAGGTCTTCTCTGAGGAGGAGGTACTGGAGGTGGCCGCGAAGGCTTCCGCAGGCAGAGAGGATGGGACAAGGCAAGCGTGTGAGGACAGGGCAGAGGCTCCTGCTCTCCCCTCAGTGACAGCTGCTCGTGAGGGCCGGTGTGTGCTGGGAATGCTTAGCTGTCGAGTAGATGAGAGGAGGGGACACAATGTGATCTGGATGAAGGGTTCAAGCGGGAAGAATCGTATGGAGGGCATGTGCTCAGATGCAGAGAAAAACCCTTAGACAATTGAAACCTGGGAGCCACCATAAGGACGGAGCCCCAGGTGGTGGCAGAGTGGACCAAGTGTGGCCTCCCATGTGGCCACAGCTTCCCTTTGGCCTCTTCTTTTGACTGGTCCCCTCCTCCGTGGCTGCTTTTCAGATCTCTCCCATATACCGGCCTTGAAATAACCTTATACAAGTTTCGGTCTTTCAGGGAGCGTGACGGTGCAGGGGTGAGGCTGTCCTTAGGAGGGTCCCCACATTTCTGAACCTGTCGTTCTTATTTCTCTCCAGAGAGGGGCAGGAGATGCTGAGGTGCTCACCGGTGTCAGGGTTTGCTGTCATGGCTGGCCTTTGCAGAGAAGAGTGGTGAGTTTCTCGAAGTGCCGTCCTTTGGTCTGTGAGTCTAGAGCTGGGGAAGGTGAGTCTGAGAAAGGAGAAAGGAGGTGCAGGAGCAGGTTGGGTTATAAACCCAGAGTTCATGTTCTGCTTCCAGGGGCGTTTTCTAGCTGAGGGACTCTGGGCACACTTTTTAACCCTCTTGACGCCCCATGTCCCTGACTGTAAAACAGTAGCAACGTCAGTGCCTGCTCCAGAGGACAGGCCCAGCATGGTGCTTGGCACAGAGCTGGTGTTCAAAAGAAGTTTTTTTTTTGCATCTGAATCTCAGTCAGAATGTTCTCCCTTCATAAGACTGTTTTTAGCATCTATCTAAGAGCTGGTCCTTGATGCTAAAACACCTTGCAAGCTCTACTGAAAGCTACTGGAAGATAAAGGATGCAGACAGAGGTCAGTCACAGCTCCCATGTAGGCAAAGCCACCGGGCTGCGAGGGGCAACTGCAGCCACGTCCTCTGGTGCATGTGAATGGCGATGTCCCCACTCTTAGCGTGCAGTTGTGCGGTGGGGGACCACAGGCCACACCCACGAAGCTTGGCCCTCAGGACGCCTCCCCAGCTGCTGGGCACACTCAGAAAGACTAGCAGCTAGCAAGAGTGGAAGGAACAACTGTGCTTGGCAGCTAAGCAAAGACAGGTAAGTTCGGAGCAAACGGCCAGCGGGCCAGGCCCGTTTCCAAGGCTCAGCCTGAGTCAGGCTGGCGACTCAGGTGAGGTCCTGGAGGAGTGGGCACCGCCCCTCTTGGGAGAGCAGGGAGTTTCGACCTGCTTCTGCCTTCTTGGGGCTCCTTTCAGGGTGTCCTGTGGGACAAAGAGCGTTTTACACAAGACATCTCTGGTTTTAGGAAGAATTAAGAATAAATGGCAGGTACTGCTGATTGCACTGAAGTACACACACACGAGACATAAATTTCCAACTGAGATGCTGATTGTTATTTTAAGCAAAGATGTCTGTGTTTTCAGAAGGACAAATGTATGATTCCACTTATATGAGATATCTAAAATGGTCAAATTTATAGAATATATTTATATATATATTATATATATAATTCTATGTAATATTATTCTATAATATATTATAGAATAAATTTATAGATGTGGAATGGCGGTTGCCAGGTCTCTGGGGGAAGGGGATGTAGGCAGTTACTAATCAACAGGCGCAAAGTTTTAGTTAAGTTGTGGAGATCTGCCGCACAACAGTGTACCTAGGGTCAATAATATCGTATTGTGCACTTAAAAATGTGCTAAGAGGATAGATCTCATAGGAAGTGTTCTTACCACAATAAAATTTAAAAAAAAAAATTTTTTTTTTTAAATGCCTATATTTTAAGTGAGGTTTGCCCGGGAAGCTTGTAGAAAGAGTTGAGGCCAACCCTGTCTTACCAAGGAGTTTGTCATCCCTGAGAACGAGTGAGAAATACACATGAAACATGAGAATTAAAAATAGGTGGGTTTTTTTTTTTTTTTAAATTTCCCCCAACCATCTTACTTTTTATGGTTATTTTGAAGAAATCTGCATTTTTTTTTCACTCAGAATGTGCTGTGCCTTTGTTGGCCAGCTCTGTGTACCAGTCTGCCCGCCTGTTTCCAGTGGCTTGTCAGGCTGGCTAATTAGAGAGCTGCCGCCTGATTCACCTTGTTAATTAGAGGGACTTGCACACGGAGGCCTCCGGGCAGCGCGCGCGAGAGAGCCTCGCACCAGTGCCCCGAGAACGACGCCGTCTGTGAAGTCATCCTTCTCATCTACCTTCTATTTTTCATTTGAAATGAATAAATCATTGAGATTTTTTTCCTTGTGGAGTGAGAACGCAAGAATTCACATCTTTGTAGGATGTAAATTACATGTGATCAGTAGGAAGCGGCGAGTGGCTGCATTGTACTTACATGATTCCCTAATTTACGTCTTGTCGCTGGATTAAAAAAATAATAATAAATAAATAAATAAATAAATAAATGGCCTGGGATACGTGTCCCCTTTCCCGGAATCGGTGCCCTTCATCTGGTAAAAGAGGGTGTTGAGTGAGAAGCACAGTTGTTCCATGTTAGCTGTTGGAATCCGGTCTGGTGGTGTGTTGCTCACTTGCACGGAGGGCAGGGGGAATCCTCTGGAAGCCTGGCCTCAGAGCAAGCTCTGTTGGACCAGCCCCTTCTCCGCCTCCCCTAGGGACCTGTGTACTCAGGGAAAAGCAGGGCACCGCAGGTAATCTTGATGGGGATCTTCTTTAGCAATAGACATCCTTACTTATTGGAATTGAGGTTTTAGATATATCTTTGTAAACAGGCCGGGCGCGGTGGCTCACGCCTGTAATCCTAGCACTCTGGGAGGCCGAGGCGGGCGGATTGCTCGAGGTTGGGAGTTCGAAACCATCCTGAGCGAGACCCCGTCTCTACTAAAAATAGAAAGAAATTAATTGACAAACTAAAAATATATATACAAAAAACTAGCCGGGCATGGTGGCACATGCCTGTAGTCCCAGCTACTTGGGAGGCTGAGGCAGGAGGATCGTTTGAGCCCAGGAGTTTGAGGTTGCTGTGAGCTAGGCTGACGCCACGGCACTCACTCTAGCCTGGGCAACAAAAGTGAGACTCTGTCTCAAAAAAAAAAAAATAAAATAAAATAAATAAAATAAAATAGATATATCTTTGTAAACAAACAAAAAAAACCACCTAATTTTTAAAAACAATATTTTGGCTTTGTTAGACTATGGACCCAATCCCAGAAGCGGTAGAGCTATAAAACAGCATGTTGCCTCCTTTCCCACCTGCGTAGGACACTTTGGAAATGAGTTTCAGCGGTTTTCTCTCCAACTATTAGATTAAAATCAAGCGCCACAGTTAAACAAGACTAGGAGAAGGCGGTGAGTTCTCACCGGTGGAAAGGAGGGTGGTCATTAAAGGTGTGGCTTTCTCATAAGAGAGGTAGCATGGGGGGCGTCTGGGGGTCTCTGCTGAGGAGTCTGATTAAATAACCTTGTTATCAGACTCTGTGGCGAACTGACGTCTTAAGCCTGGTTGACCTTTTTGCTCATCCGTAGCATTTGCAGACTCTGTCCATGCTTGCCTGCAGAGATTTTGGCAAAAGATTTGCAAATATTTCTTTATAGGCAGGAAAGGACGTCATACCTGCTCTTCCTAGGAAGGGCATAGACCGGGGTAATTGTTTCCTAGGATGTTCTTTCCACCATTCCGAACCTCCGATTTTGTGCCCACAAGCATGCATCGAGCACTTGCTGCATGCAAAACACTGCCCCAGCCTGGAGGGGAATCCAGGACACAGAGACCATGCCTGTCCTCAGGACCCCTCAGGGGAGGGGAGCTGGGACAGGAGCCACAGACAGAGGGGACATTTATGAGGGCTCCCGGGGCATGAGCAGAGCTTTCCAGGTGGGCAAGGCCTTCCAGACAGGGTGTGAGTAGCTTGGGGAGGCCAGAGAAGGGGTGAGTGAGAGGAGAGACAGCTGCAGAGGCAGGGTGGCACCAGTCAGGTCCAAAGGGCTGCCTGTCCAGCCTCCAGAAGTTACCTGGGCGTGCTCCTTGGTGCAGCCAAGGTGTGTGCACTTACTTGGTGTGTGCACTGTTGAGCCCCGGCTGGAAGGGCAGGGGAGTCGAGGTGTGGACACCCCAGGTAGGCTTTGGGATGCCACAGGAGGGTGCAGAAGTGTCCTGGGCTTCTCTGGCACATTTGCTCCAGCCCTGGGTGCAGGAATTAGTGGGTGTAGTTAGTAAAGAGGGGAGGTGGATACTGACCTGCCAGGGATTTCACAGGCAAAATAAGCCACCTCTGTGAGAGCCTCTACCTGTTTGACCTTGAGAATTTTACTGAAGATCTGGGTTCCAGCCACGGGCCCTCAAGCAGCACTTCCAAGCACCTAGTTCAGCTCGTCAGCCCTGCTCTTTGCTAGGGTCAGTGCAAATACCCATGATGAAAAAGACACGGTCTCCTGCCTATAAGAAGCCTGCAAACGCCAGGCAGACGTGATGGTGTTTGCAGAGATGTACAGAACACACCAACCAGGAGAGGGGGTGGCACAGAGAAAGTGGCACCAGCGTTGAGTTTTCCAGGATGAACAGGGACTTACTAGACTGGAGTGACGGGGAAGGGTGGTCTGGACAAGGAGCAGCAAGTGGAAGGGCGAATATGCACGGGGCATGTGGGGGCCACCATGATTAGGTTCTGACTCAGGGCCTGAGCCCGGAGGGTGTGCAGCAGGGTCCAGGGGGCAGAGGATTGGAGGATTTGGGGCGAGTGTAAACAGGCTCAGATCTGAATTTGTAAAGGAGGTTCCTGCTGCCTGCTTCCGTTGTCCAACACCGGGCGCTTTTCACATGGTTTTCTAAGGTATTGCTCAATGCACTAGTAGAGACTATGCTACCATGGAGGCAAGAGCTAACCAGGGCCCAAACCAGGACGGACTGAGAGATCCTGAGGTCGCTGAGTGGCGAGAGGTGAGGGCTACCCAGGAAGAAGCTTCCAGCTCAGGAGGCTGAGCACCATAGTAAATTAATACCCTTCTATTCGTAGAGTCTAGCAGTTGCATCTCGTAGCTATGTGAGACTTCCTGCTTCACAGCTTACTGGTGTACAGCCACGGAAATGGAAACTCCAGCCACGTTCCCTCCCACCGTCCAAGTGCTGTTGGATACGGCGATGAATTCATTACCACCAGAGCACACTGCTGCTTCTAAATTGGTTGTGCAATGGCAGTTGCAAGCTGTGACATCCCTGTCAACTTTATGTGGCGTGCCCCCACCTTTCTTAAACAGAAAGTCCCTCTTTGCTACCAGAGTGGGCCGCTTGCACCAGGGGGACACAGAGCCGGGCCCTTTCCTAACTCAGGGGCCCCTCCATGGGGTTGAAAACACCTTCTTCTCGGACAGGTCCTGTCTGTGGAGGGACCCTTCCAGATCACGTGGGAGGCTCACCGTGATGCGTAAATATTGACTTAGTGGGCGCCAGCAGCGCCCGAACCCGCTTGGCGCGCCCTTGTCTCTGGGAAAAGTCAAGAGAGGCCGTGCAGGGGAGTGTGCACCTGCCCCGTCTCCGTGGTGCTCACAACTGCCGCTGGCTTTGGCATTTTCAGGGTTGGAGAAGGAGCTTGGATTTAATCTGTAATTTGTAATCCTTCAAGATCTAATCGGCCGGAACTTACTCTAATGCCAGGGCACTGTGCTGGGTGCGGAAACGCCGCCGGAAGCCCCCGGCGCATCGGAGAGGAGCTTCCCGGGAAGGGCCCCGTGCTCAAGGCCTCTCGCAGGGCGCCTGTTCCCAGGCTAAAACACGGGTCCTCCTGCATGTAAAGAAGGCATCAGTGCCGACTTTGTTCTTTAGCAGGTAATTTGCTTCGGTAACACGAGTTACAAGAAAATGAAGAGGTGGAAGAAAAAAACAACAACAACACAGTGAAATGAAAACGTTATTAAAATAGCAAGTGAAAGCCCTGCAAGGTTTCCTCCCAGATGTGAGGCTCCTTCGGACCCCTCCCCTGGCCTCTCTGGACCTGGAGCCATGCAATGTCCCCAGCTTAGACGGGCCTCACACCGCCGGCTGCCTCCCACGGGGGTCTGAGCACCACATGTGGGAGCTTTAGTTTCACTCCAGAGGGCGAAGGTTCACCCTGCCCCCCCCGCCTCCCTCAGAGTCTGGCAGCCCCGTGGGCTCTTGGGGAGCCTTTGCTAATGGAGCAACAGTGTCTCCAGACACTTAAAAATGTCACCGTTTGCTCGATTAGAAAGGCGGTGCGTGTTAATGGCAGACGATTTGGAATTTGGCAGATGATTGGATTTCCAGAGCGATGTTCCATCTTGTTCAGGTCAAATACATGTCCCCACCCCACCCTACACAATGCTCTGCTTAGAAGCTAACTGACGTTATAACCTTAATTTCTGGACTTCAGCTTTATTCCTTTTTAGGGAGTGCAAATCATTTATAATAATGATTATTATGAAATTAACTCTTCCAATGGGAGTTTTTTTGGGGAGGAGGAGGAAGCCTTCTAAACGTGGGGGTCTTTCTTTGCAGTCGCGATGAACACGAGAGTTACAAACTTCCAGCAACTGGATTTACCTGAAGTCGTCATGCCCACCTCCTCCCCAGCAGGTGGCTTGGGATGCTATGATGCCAAGTAGGATCCCGTTGTCACACACAGGCAGGTAGGTGACTGCCATGTATGCTCCTGAGAATGATTGGTGTTGGCCACTGTAGTGTTGGCGGACTCGGACGGAGGCATGTGCAAGGTGTGCTCGTGGGTGCCGACGTCCAAACTGCAGAGGGCTGGGTGGGTCTGCCTGCTGCCGGCAGCAAGCCCTGAAAAGTGACTGACTTGGGTGGGCACGGTGGCTCACGCCTGTAATCCTAGCACTCTGGGAGGCCGAGGCAGGCGGACCACTCAAGGTCAGGAGTTCAAAACCAGCCTGAGCAAGAGGCAGAGACCCCATGTCTACTAAAAATAGAAAGAAATTAATTGGCCAACTAAAAATACATAGAAAAAATTAGCCGGGCATGGGGGCGCGTGTCTGTAGTCCCAGCTACTCTGGAGGCTGAGGCAGGAGGATCGCTTGAGCCCAGGAGTTTGAGGTCGCTGTGAGCTAGGCTGATGCCATGGGACTCTAGCCTGGGCAACACAGTGAGACTCTGTCTAAAAAAAAAAAAAAAAAAACTGACCAAATGGCTGATCTGCCCACGACACGCAAGTAGCCTCTGTTGGTCCTTTGCTGGAAAAGCAACCAGTCTTGAAGTCTAAGGACTCATTTTCAGACAACTTTAACCCACGTTTATGTTTCCACATTTGGTGATTTTGTGGCTATGCCCTGAAACTTAAATGGTTGCTGTTTTCTTAAGGGTAAGAACCATAGTCATAGCTCTACAAATATGGGTTGAGCTACATGGGACCCTACATGCGAGGTCCCCTCACAGACACAGGGGCATCTCCTTGGCCTGCAGGTGCTCACAGGGACCCCTGGGCAGACACGTCCCTGCAGGGAGCCGTGAGCCGGCTCAGGGGTCAGCCCACGAGAAACACCGTGGTCAGCCCGCAGAAAGGTGGCATAGAGCGGGGGACATCGGGGAGCAGGGGTAGACAAGGAGCAGCACGTGGGGGTGGGGAAAGCTCGGGCCATGCCTCCAGCAGAGGGACGGAGCAGACAAAGGCCTGGGGACAGAAAGGAGTCACGGCCTCCAGCTGAGGGGGCAGCGCAAAAACTGCTTTATGTGGCCTGCACTCTGTTACACTTTCTTTTTTAATGAGCTGTCAACATTCAAATACTGAGAGGTTTCACACTAAATGTAAAATCAAACCAAACCTGGATTCTGGTTCTCTGAAATGTCTGGCATCTGTATTCCTGCCTGACAGAGTCAGCTGGAGCTGAGCCCGGCCGCGGCTGCGCAGGCATGGGGCTGACAGCCTGCCTGGCCCCCACGGCGCCGGGAGCCAGGCGTGAGGGGCAGAGCAGAGAAGGAGCAGGGCCTGGCTAGGCAGTGGCTCCGTGTCCTGCGGGCGGCAGAAGGCCCAAGGGCCTGAGCAGGTTTGCTTTCAGGAAGATGGCTCTGATTATGGCCTGGAGCATGGATTTAATGGGCCAGACAAGAATCTGTTCGCAGTAGTTCAGGGGAGGATTGAAGGTGGGAGGGGTGATGTAGTGGTTGAATAATGATGGCCCCTCCCTCCAAAGATACCAGGTCCTTGTCCCTGGAACCTGTGAATATCACCTTATATGGCAAAACAGACTTTGCAGTTTCCAAGTGGCTCCAAATGCAATCGCATGCACCCTGATAAAACAGAGATTTGACACTGACAGCAGAGGGGGGAGGCCATGTGACCATGGAAGCCAAGACAGGAGCGATGTGGCCACAAGCCAAGGAACGCTGGCAGCCACCAGAATGAGAAAAGGCGCAGGGCCGATTCTCCTGGGGAGCCGGCAGAAGGGGAGTGGCCCTGCCGAGGCGTTGATCTTGTCCCACTCGTACTGAACTTCGGCCTCCAGAACTGGGAGAGAGTAAATCTCTGTTGTCTTAAGCCACTGAGTTTGTGGCCATTTGTTTCGGAGACATAAGAAATTAATACGGGCTCGGCGCGGTGGCTCACGCCTATAATCCTAGCACTCTGGGAAGCCGAAGCGGGTGGATTGTTTGAGCTCAGGAATTTTGAGACCAGCCCCAGCAAGAGCGAGACCCCGTCTCTACTAAAAATAGAAAGAAATTAATTGGCCAACTAAAAATATATAGGAAAAAATTAGCCGGGCACGGTGGCGCATGCCTGTAGTCCCAGCTACTCGGGAGGCTGAGGCAGAAGGATCGCTTGAGCCCAGGAGTCTGAGGTTGCTGTGAGCTAGGCTGATGCCATGGCACTCTATCCCAGGCAACAGAGTGAGACTGTGTCTCAAAAAGAAAAAAAAGAAAAGAAATTAATACGGACAGCATCAGAGATGACCGGAAGTGGAATCCACCAAATGGGGGACTGACTGGATGTGTTTGTTGAAGGAACAGCAGCAGGCAGGGGACACTGGTGGGACCCTGTTAGCAGTGGGCGGAGACTCAGCGGCGGTGCTGGAGGAGAGTGCAGGAGGCAGAGGGAGGGCAGGACAGAGCACAGTGGGGCAGGAAGAGGCATAATTGAGGTGCATAATTGAGCTGGAAACTGCAGTCCTGCAGGGGAACCTCCGGGAGACCATAGGGAACACACCCACCTCCACATGGTCCTTTGAAAGGACAGGGAGCTGGGGACACAGAAAGCATCTGCCCAGGCTCCCAGGTGTGTGGCTTGGGCAAGCGCTGGATGAGGACCCTGCAGGAGGAACGGGTGGGGTGACAGGGCTGCATCTAGTTTGCAGCGGGCCGGGTTTGCATCGCACGGAGAGTCTGGGCAGGGTGACCCTGGGCACAGCGGAAACTTTGGAAGCCACCGGAGAGAGTAAGGCTGTAAGCCAGGACAGCTCCTTCGAGGAGAAGGGTGGGGCAGGGGCTGAATGGAGGCTTGGATAAAAGGTGGACTTTTAAAAAACATGATTCCACCAGTCAACGAACGTTATTCGAGCAGCTACTCTTTCACAGTCTCTGGGGATGCAGCAGCTATCAAAGCACAAAAATCTCTGTCCTTGAAGAGTAAAGATGTCACCAAAAAAATACATAAATTCAGATACTGATACGATGAAACATGAAGAAATAAGTTAGGGCGATGTGGAATGCTTCAGGGCTGCCTGGGCTAGCCAGGGTGGGGAAGGCCTCTGTGAGGAGGTGACAGTTGAGCCGACTCATGGGTGATGAGAAGGACCTGGCTTTTCAGAGAACTAGGGGAGAGTGGGCCGGTGCAAAGGCCCTGGGGCAGGTGTTCAAGAGGGAAGGGAGGAGGCACTTTAAAAGATCACCTTGGCTTTTGTGAGGAGAAAGGACTCAAAGGGGCACGAGGAAAGGTGGGAGGCCAGCGAAGAGGCTGCCACTGTCGCCCAAGCTGGTGGAACGTCGGTGGGAGACATCCGGGCAAGGGTGAGCATGACTGTGACAGGCCTGTCTGGATTCTCATTTGTAACCACTGTGGGACTAAAATGACACGCAGAAGGACGAAATCACCATTTCTGAGGTTACCGTGCCCAGCAGTGGCGTAACACGTTGTATAAAATAGAGTGGAAGCTGGGTAACTGCTTGGCATGGCGTCGTAGGCAAAGCATTCTATCAGGGGTGTGTTGTTCGCAGGTATTACGCTTGCTTAGGAGGACTCCGCCACTTAGTTCACTGCTTTGATTGGGTCGTGGAAAAGGTATCTTCCATAGGGGTAGACTTTGCACACATCAACCCATGGCCAGAGTGGAGCTGTCAGAGCGCAGGTGCTTCCGGGGCAGGTGGAGAAGGCCAGGATGGGAGAGGTTCCTGGGGACAGTTAGTTCCCCAGGCACAACCCTTGCAGGTCCCTTTGGAGGACTGGTTGGAAGGGAGACTGTAAGGTGGCTCTTCTGCTTGCCTTGGTGGCTGGCTCGGACCTCCCCAGGTGGGCTGGCACAGCACCATGGTGACCCATTTTTTGAGGGTGGCTGTCTCGTGGCCCCAGGACTGCAGCCCAGCCTTCCCTGCCCCCAATACCTCTGAGGGGGCCTGGAGATGCTGCAGGGAGAGGACGGGACGTGGGGAGGGCAGTGGGCCCATGTGGGGCCAAGGACGTCTGCTCACCTTCCACCCACAGGTGGGGACAAAGGTTGGAAGGCCAGGGTGGCCAAGCTAGGCTCTGGGAGGGGACGGCTGAGTCTTGCCCAACACCCCGGTGACCTCAGGAAAGCCTTTTGGAGAAAGAGACCTGTTTATCCTTTGGACAGGGGATCGGGGACAGGTGTGCGTTCGCCAAGTTCAGCACAGGTAGTATGAAGTGAAGAGGCAGCATCGCCGCCCCTTGCTCACCTGACTCCGGACCACTCGCCGCAGGTCTCCTGCGACTGCAGCAGGTGACAGACTGAGGGCCAGACAGAGACAAAGCTCTGGCTCTGCCTTCGTGAGCCTTAGTTTCCTCCACTGTTAAATGGGGACAGCCATGCCCATGCTGAGTTTGATGAATATTAAGTGGCAGTAAGGGCAGGGTGGGCTGCCAACGGGGGTAAACCTCACAGACACGGGGCAGAGTGGAAGAGGCCGGGCACAGAAGGCCAAATACTGCAGGGTCCTGTTTATGGAGGGGCTGGACTAGACCAATCCATGGAGACAGAGCAGGACAGAGGTTGCCAGGCGGCGTGGGGGACAGGGAATTATTGTTGAACGGCCCAAGAGTTTCTGCTGGGGGTGACGAAGTTTTGGAGATGGATAGTGGTGAGGGTCACACAACATTGTGAATAGACTTGATGCCACGGAATCAATCGCACACTCAAAAATGGTTGAAATGGCAAATTTTACGTTATGTATATTTTATCACAATTAAAGATAAAAAGGACTAGCCCCTTCTGATAACCCTAAACTGGAGTTCCTGAGGCTGCTGTCGACCTGGCTGACCCACAGCCTAGGCGGGGACCCCAGCCGCCACTCCAGGGCCACAGAAGTCACAGGCAGAGGACGATAGCTAATGGCAGACAGTTTCGAAAAGAACTAAAGGATGTTGAAAGCAGAACCCCATCGCCAGTAATCCTCATAGTTATAATGTTTATGCACTTATTATTTATAAGGTTTTATGTGATTTTAT